AGAGCGGGGGGTGAATAGGCCTACCCGGGGGCGGGGGGGATGCACCCGGGACCCGCCGGATGACACGCAGCAAAGCACACCCCGCCAGCCCCTCGCCGGGGCCACGTTGCCCCCCCTCCCCTCCCGTGGCGGTGAGGGAGACTTCCAAAAATGTCACCTGAGTTACAGCTCACCCACGTAAGAGCCGCCCCTGCGATGGTTCTTCAGGATCACACACCATTTTACCTGTTAGTGACCCACGGCTGAAGCACTCCGGTTAAACATTTTAGCGTTCCCTTTTGGGGGATTTCTCAGGCATAGACGTGATTACGCAAAGGAGAGGCTCGGTTGATAAAAGGTTCGTTAAGTGATTTATAGGTCGTAGGAGTACATTACAATACAAATACAAAGGTGTTAGAGGTAAGTTTTTGACTCACTTGACTTAACAGGTTTGAAGAACTGATCAAACATTGTATATGCACCCATCACTCAATCTTAAAATCTATTTAGAAATACAATGTTGGTAAAAAACATACATGGTATGCTTGGACAAGGTAAGGGCACTCTTTAGAAATCCATTCCTCCCCAACGCACTCACGAATCACATCTTATTCACACATCTCGAATGAATCTCAGTATACCTGTGTAGATGGGGAAACTGAGGCATGGAGAAACACATTCACTAGGCAGGTTGATTAGAGAGCCAGAAGCACTTATAGCCTCAGTGCGATAAACGAGCCAACAGATCTGCTCTCTGACATCTTAATTTTTGCTATCAATGCTTGTGTTTCTTCCCTGAGAAGAAAACCAGTATGAAGCACCACTGCAGCAGAACTGAGCAAGCCCATTAAGAGAGACACTGCAACACCTCAGCTGCGGGGCACATCAGCGCTGACTTCTAGGTGCAATGAAAGGCCTTAGAGTTATCCCAAATCTTTCTGCAAATCTCTCTCCATAGTCACAGTCTGTTCCTGCATCAACGTGCCATTCCCTCATCCCACCATGACCTGGCCTAACCAAGCAGCTTCTGAGATTTCCTTATTTCCACCCAGCAGGGACATAAACGGTACAAAAAACACATGCAAAAAGCTGTGTAAACCAGGAGCAAATCCCGTGCAGAGCCCGGGCCGCTGCAGCTAGGGCGGGAGCATGGCTGGTGTGCACACACCTTACCGAGCTGCTGATTCACATGTGGCCACAGCCGGGGGCTGGTGGGACATGCCGCAGAGGGCAGAGCCACCTTCCCACGGGGACGCGGGGTTTAAGGTTTTCTGTCAGAAGGCACTAGCATGGGGCTGTTCCACAGCTGTACTTCTACAAAGGAACTGGAGCAATATCACAGCTCCTCAGGTGTAATACCAAGAGGATCTTTCATTGCCCAAAAGCTCCCCAGACTGGTCAGAGGCCTGTCAATTGCATCGGCGCTGGCAATAACCTGGAGGTCTCGCAGAGAAAGTAGCCATGGCTCCTGGATCGCAGTGGTATTCTCCTGGCAAGTTCTGAGCAGCACAGTGCACTGTAGGCCTGGGTCTGTGCACAGCAACTAAAAGGTAGTTTAGTATAAAAAATAGAGCTTTAAGAACACCAAAACAACATGAGAAGGCCTGTGGCTCTGAAATATCTAACACATTTAAGAACTGCATTTTTCAGGAAATATTTCAGTTAGAGAACTTCAGGAAAACAATTTTTCAAAGCCTGACATAATTCACATACACGTAGTAACAACACAGGAGAAAGGGGGGGAGATTTTCTAGTATGCACCTAAGTTTGCAAGATTGTCATTCCAGTGTATTACGGTTCATTTTGCACATTACAATTCTCTCTTAGCAAAAGCAGAGTTGCAGCAGCATATTTTCATCTTTACGCTGAAGATTTGTACAAAATTATTATTCTCAAGTAAGCCTCAAAAACTGAAGAGTGGATTCTGGAGTGTGACTGAACTGAGACTAATTCTGCATCTGCAGAATGCCACGTCCACACAGTATCACTAAAAAAAAAAGGTATTTCAGTAGAAATGCTTGCACATCGTATGTATTCTAGTCTGTTTATCAATTTTGGCTGACATGGTATCTCAGATTACTTTAAAAAAAAGTTTGAATTTTCTTAATATTTTTGAAGACACAATTTATATTCTCATCTGAGTTCCCTTGCCTCTCTGCAAGTGCTCTGATCTCAAAACGGTTATTCAGTATTGAAAAGCACCTAGAATAATGTAATTTCAAGTTCCAACAGCATAGCGTTTTCAAACTAGTTGCATCTCTCCTCTTCAGTATGTGCTTGCTATTCACATTGTTTATATCCATTCAGCAAACGAGATACAAGCTTTATTCATTCCTGGCACTGGTGTCTCTCACTACTTAAACCATGCAATCCGCTGAGATGCTGGTACCTGTAGTTCAGCATGTTTTTCTTGCCAAGTTCCTTAAGAAAGGTATTGTGTATATCTCCAATGGACACTGACATCAGTTTTCCAGAGCCGATTTCCTTGGCTCAAAATTTTCCCTTCGGAGGAGCTTTAATTCTCTCAGTTCTTGTGGCTGTAAACTCTGGTCCACCCCAGGAGTCAGCTTGTAATTTAAAGGAGATTCAATATAACCGTTTCTGTACAGACAGACCCGCTTGCAGAATTCAAAGGTGGTAAACATAACACCAAAGTATGGGACAATCTGATAAAATAGAAAAAAAAAAAAGCATCACAAGATTAAAAAGCAGTATTAGACTCACTAGTAGCATTCTTAGCTTACAGGTTTTAAAAAAGGAAACTTCTAGGACTTCAAATCTGATCTGATCTGCTAATAGAGCTGTGATCATTTATATAAAATCAGAGTCTCACCTCCAACTAGGCTGGCACCTGCAGCATGCTATAAGTAGGAATTTATTATTGGTACATAACTAATTATAACGATATTGTGAGGAACAAGATCTGTACTAGGCTATAGATGATCACAACTTGCCAAATACCTAAGCAAATCCTAAGTAATCTCAGCAAATCCCAGTGAGAAAGGTGGGATTTATTTGACATACAGCAGAGTGACTGAACAATTTTCTTCTCTTGCCCCATGCAGAATCAGCAGCTCTGGTGCCATGTGGCTTTATATCTGCCAAGGCAGGGCCAGGCACAGGCAAGCCATCACAATCAATCACATTGTCACTCAATTACCTCTCATTAGCTGACTTGTAGTACTCCATGTAGGTAATCCTCACTGCAGCGCTATAAAATGTGTTTATGTAAACTAAATTACCTTCTGTTTAAGCTACCATGCTTTATTTCATGCTTTCCACTCATCAAGGGCTGTAGTAACCAACATGCATGCATTAAATAGCCAGTCGAAAACACTACTTCTGACTTCTGGGGAAGTGGCTTATACAAGTGTAATTTTATTTACAGCTCGCTACAACCTGTCAAATTATTGCAGCTCAGCTGAGACACAGAACTTGTTTAGCTCTTATAGGTAGATCACACCGTCCATACCCTGGCTTCTCTGTTAGCAGTGCTCCCTGCTCTACGGACATTCAAATCAACTTGAAGGTAGTGACATCTAGAAGCCAAGCTTACATTTGGGGAAATATGACCAAACCAAGTTCCAAAGCCAGTTTAAAACTTGCCTGAGGTTATACCTGTTCTGCCACGGACTCTGTCATCTATAATCTGCTAATGAGTATGAAGGCACGTCATAAGCTTTATGACCCCAACTGTCCCAAAGTGTGTTTTGATTACTTCAGGATAGTCTTTGACTGGGATGAAAGCAAAAACTCACCTTTAGCAGACTGGGTGTGAGTCCACTCCAAAGTCCAAGCACACCTTTGTTCTTCACGGTTTGCCGGAAACAGTCAGCCATGCCAGTAAAATGGACATCAACTGCTCCGTAGTGGGGAAGCCAAGGACTCTGGGCCTGTTCAAGAGACAGCCAGCAGGATTTAGAACAAGGAAAGGAAAATCAAAGTAATTAAAGATAATTATTTTCTCCATTCTGGTACATAAGGAACACTTAATGTCAGGTTTCAACAGACTGATCTGGATTCTTCCGTCAACCCAAAAGAATCAGCTATTTTGCCTTGAAATACAAACTAAAAAGGAAGGGAAGTCACTCTTTGATAGGTGCGAAAGAGGAAGAGAGCAGTAATGCAGTAATTTCACACAGCACTTGCTTTTGTGCGATGTCACTACTAGAAATAAATCCCACCCTTGTGAAGACAAACCATCCAAACCAGAGCCGCATAACACATCAGCCCCATGCCTGCCAGCTGCTTGGGTCAGGGGAGAGGTGTTTCACATCTCTGGCAGCACAACACCTACAAGAGGGATGCTCAGGGCTGGCCCCAGACGCCACACTGCCGTCCTGTAATTCTAATCAAAAAGAAGAGCACGCTGACTTGACTCCGGCTGCTGAGGCTGCGTCCACACTGCGGTGAGAAGGGTGAACGGTACCACAGGCTGAGCAGCAAGAGCACAGCAGAAACACAGAAGAACAGAGATTTCAGTCCAGGCTGTACAAGCCCACCAGGGGCTGTAGGTAAGCAGTTGGTGCCCATGCTCCTCTGTTTTTGCTACATGGTCGGTTGATCCGGAGTGGTTAAAGTTAGCTTGGGAGCATCCTGCAGCTACATTTCCAACTGCTGTATAGACAGTGTCTGTTCCCATGGAAGAAGTGTAGTGCGTCATTTTTAACAGCAAAATCCTTCCTTCATTAATCTCCTACTGCGTTAGCACAGACAGGATAACCCGACCTTGAATAATCCCATCCTCATCCTCATCCATCTGTGCACATGCAGCCATGGGTTTATTTTGCTTCGGCAAATCAGGCTTTCACTCAAACACACAGCAAGTGACACTTCTCAGTTGGGAGTGTGTGGGGACCCCAGGACACAGGTTGATGACTTGCATGAGCAAGCTGACCACCACAGGGCAGAAGTTTGATAAAAGTGGGACTTGTACAGTTAATTGATTGGTGAATATGGATATTATTATCCCCTCATTGATCTGAACCACCATGTGGTGTAGAGCTGCTAAGCCTGTGACAAGCCTCTCATCAACCGGCAAGTGGTGATGACATTTTCTAGATGCCTCAGCTATAGCATTTCAAATACTTGGCAACTTAGATGCTGGAAATGGGAACAGATCAAAACTCATGCTCCAGGTATGTAAGAGAAGTTGCTAATCAAATAGTTTTAATGCTGTTGCATCCCTTTGCAAGTCTACCACTAAAATTTAGAAGCTAACAAAAAACCCTAATCACCCCCCCACGTATCATATTTTTTTTCTGATTTTTTTTGTGTATAATTGAAATGCATGTGAAATACTTCTTCAGGTAGGTAATGGGTAAAACAATAGTTTCCTTTTGACAGGGCTTTGGGAAGCAATTTTCGAAAGCAGCTGTCTGCACAGAGAAAGATAGCAATAGGCTTCCACCACATCCTGATTTGTTATCTTCTGGATCCCCTTTATCATGTCCTGGCTCTTTTACCCCACATCAGAGTAGGGCTGATGATTTAATCCATGCTCTTTTATGCTTTAAGGAGGAGACCAAAGCAGCATTTGCTTCTCTCTGAACTTTCTCAACAGTGTACCTGATTTGTAAGAGAGGGATCACACTTTGGGGAGAGGAAGAAAGTATTTCCACTGTTCTAATTGCTTGTTCCCTTTATATCTACATTAGCCTTGCTAACTCCATGGAGCTACAGCTGTTTCCATAATTCCTAACTCCGGTGCAAGCTCCCACAGCTTCCTGTTTTAGGACTCAGAGGCAGGTGTCGTGGGATTTAACTGCTGTGATTTTGTAGTATTACCAGCCCTGCCTTTGCAGACAGTTCAAGTTAACGGAGCTAGTCTGGTAGCCAAGGGTCATGCACACGGTCACTTATGCTCATTTGCTGCAAGGAACCTCAGCTGTCTGCTTGGCTCTGTTACTTAAGGGGTGTTAGAGTTTAAAAAGCAATACCTAAATCCAACAGTGAGAAAGAGAGGAATAACTTTTCAAGCCTTAATCCACAGTACCAGAGAAACTCCTGCAGACTCCCATGACTGTGCTGTGGAAGATACTGGGTACTGCAACTGAGACTCCAGGGACCAGTTCCACCAGGAATGGTGATATTAGCACCAGGGATGCTTAGAAGAGCACCGAAATGATGTAAGTATCCTTAAAAATGCAACAGCAGTCATAGGAGAGCTGGATTCAAAACCCTGTTGTGCTTTCCAGACTGTCAGCCAGTTTCCACCAGT